GGTTACTGAAAACAAGGAACTAAGTGCTTAAAAACACTTGACCCCATAAGCTCAGTCCTTTCCTTGGCACCAAAGTCACACCTTTCAGCTGTTTCTCTGATCTTTTACTCTCATTCTGTGCCTTATCATCAAACTCATTACAACAAGTAGAGACCCTGGGGCTTCCAGGCTACATGTCCATTCAATAAAGCTGTGACAAGAGGCAGCGCTGGCATTATCTGCTCGCTGTATTACTTACAGAGCACTGCATCTTCAAACAAGCAGAAATAATGATAAGGGAACCACAGGCCATATATAGCGATAGTCCATCTTGGATTTAGAAATGTACTACAAAACCATTGCTTTACCTATTACAATGTAAATGTAATGCAGTGTGGACTCTCCCCCAAGAAATGCAAGGCAATTCACAATGATGGCCTCACCACTGACTCACAGTTAACATGACAGATAAACAGCTAATGGGCTTCTGTTACAACAGCCCGTGATATAAACCGTGCTTAAATTCAGTGTTTCCTAATACAGTCCTCGGGTCCTTGGGGACCCACAGCCAGTCCACGTTTTTGCTCCCTCCAAGCTCCCTGCCAGACAGTCCACATTTTTGCTCCCTCCCAGCTCCTAGTAGAAAGTTGGGAGGGAGCAAAAACATGTCCCACCTGTGGGTCCCTGAGGACTGGATTGGGAAGCACTGCTTTAATTCACTGGCCCACTTCAGCCCCTCCAGAGACGTACCAATTACACGCAGGTCAAGCTCAGCAGGTTGCATAACAGCAGGCTGCAGCCGGCCATTATTTCAGTGCAGCACAGTGCACATCAGCCTTAGCTTGCCTGACAGTGTTTTCAAATGCGGCTGTGAAATTAGGAGTCATTATTACCGCCCTGTGCTTCCTTATGGTCAAAATGAGGGATTTGATCCTGCACTTTTTCCCATCCATCTTTCTCTCACTTATCCTGCACAGCATGGTAGTGATCCTGGGGCATATCCAGGAATCACAGGGCACAAGTTGGTCCAGCACAAGACACACACACATACGCAGTCGTACACAACTGAGAAACCGAAGACAGCAGCTTCTCCAACTGCATGTTTCTGGGCTGTAGGAGGAAACCAGAGGAAACTCCATATGGAAAGTTTGACGTCCCGAAGGGACTCGACCACACGCCGTGAGCTGCCAGTGATGCCCACTTAGCTGCCCTCATGTGCTGCTGCTGACATGCCCACTTATTGCTTCCTCTTATCTGCAAAATATCCCATGACCTTCCAAGACTAACATGCAGATTATCAGGGACATGGATGGATGCTCTTGTTTCGTCATGTCATCTCTATGATGATAATTGCATGGAGTGCATGTTGCCCCGGTAACTCACACCTTCATTAAAGAAAGCATTTTGACATCTGAGACCCAACTGATCTGCCATGTCGGCAAACCCTTTATTGGCCATCGTTATTAGTAATGAGGTGCAATAGCAGCAGCTACAGTCTTACTACAAGGTTGGCTACATCATGTACAGTCATTAACCTTAATGAAAAAATGCAAGAGTCAACAGCTATATATGTATGTACATGTGTGTATGCGTGTGTGTGTGGGTGTGGTGTATATACATATCAAAGTTGTAAGTACACACCCAGAAACACACACACATACTGTACGCCCAACCTAAAACCCACCCTGTGGCAAAAGTAACGTCCAGATAAAACAAAAACAATCGGTACAAAATTACATAAATCGTACATTTACTTTAAGCATTCAGTTCATTAGCATCTTGGCAGGTTGCATTTGCATCCTGACGTGCCACATAGCATTTGAAAAGGCTGCCATGTTTCCTCTGAATGTCTGCTGTGAGCTCTGAGGGTTAAAGCCGTTCAAATGATGAGTCGGGCCTTACTTTGCGTTTCTATCAACGGCATATCAAATAAATATCTTTCAAAGACTTACGGATTAAGGGTCAAAGCACAAACATCGTTACAAAATGCTATATTTAACTACACTTGATGCACTTCCTGACAAAAGCCTAGGAGATATACTCAGAAAGGCAAAAAGAATAAATGTATTTCAGTTCCACACAGGGGACACAACTTTTTCTGTTCATGGCGCAGTGTGGTGCAGATTCTGTACAGACTATAGGCTCTTACATTTCCATATCACACAACCCAAGAACTGGCGACGGTTTTCTGCAAGTATGTTGGCCTGCATCAGCAACTGTGTTCTGTAAAATGTCTCTTAATTTAAATCTATATTATATTATACAGAACACAGAGATCGCTGGATACATATCGCTAATACATAATACTATTCATTTAGATTCGATTTAGCCGTCATGGAGCCTCTGTGTAAGTGTTGCCCAAAAATGGCGGGCTTTGCCTGAAAAGGGGCTGCGGAGTGGGAGCCACAGCGCCGCGGGCTCCCTGACGTTTGCGGCACGGAAACGGCACGACCGCAAACCCCACAGCTAATGAGTCAGAGAGACAGAAGGCTGGTCGCTCTGGACAGGCACCAAATAAGGAGCATGCGGAGGGCAATTCACGCTACTGCTGGTGAAAATCCCATGGGGGGCTGGAAGCTATAAGCGGCAACCTGGAAGTAAGGGGCCTTCTGCTGCAGGTCTACGTCTGCAGGTCTACGTCTGCGCAATGAGATAGAGGAGAGGAAGAAAACACACAGATGGTCCCTCGCTGTGCAACACAGACACCTTCCTGTGATGTTACAAACGCAGTGGCGTGCAGCCCTCAAGAAATCTCTCACACAGGCAAAGGTAAACCCATTAGTGAGTAATGTGTCATGACACATCACTCTCGTGACCATCCTTAGAATGATCTGCAATTTCTGCCACAGTTGCCTTTCTGTTGGTTTGTACCACATGGGACAGCTTTCATTCACTTCCCGCATTTTGAGTCTTGGCTGCTCGACACCCCATTGTGGATCCTTGGACCACTCTCACGATGGCTGACCGGGAGCTTGCCATAAGCCATAAGCAGTTTCGGAGACACTTGGACCAAGTCATCTTATTATTGCACATGCTACATATAAAAGGTTGTTTCCATGCGCAATAATAATGCTCAATATGTACCTAATACATACACACACACACACACACACACACACACACACACACACACACACACACACACACACATAGGTGTAATTTTAGGGGGCCGGGAACCAATTAATTGGTTTTCCATTATTTCTTATGGAAAAAAATTCGATCAGAACTCGAACTTTTTAGGATTCGATCCGGAGTCCGGAACGGATTAAGTTCGAGAACCGAGGTACCACTGTATATTTGAAAGAGGGAACAACAGTGTTTGAGATTCACGGTATGTTACTTCCATATACCAAACTCTCCTTTTTCAACTATACCGAGGTAAAGTCCAATTTTCATTCTGTGGAACCTTTATTAATTAAGATATTTAAAGGTAAATATGTTTTATTTTACTATGTACTGTTGTTGTGTTGGTGATCATGGGGATGTGGTGGGGGCGGTTTTGTTACATGCAGGGATGGGGTGGGGACAGTTTAGATGTTCACAACGACAAATGGGGATGGCGATACCTATCATGGCCATGCAGCTCTCTAAGCAGAACTCTTCACACATAAAGTGATCCATCTCCTGACCCAGTCAGGAACACTATATTGGACACCAGCACACCGTAGTACCCCGAGTAAACTTACACATACATGCTGACAACATACAACATCCACATGCACAAAGGAGGTAGGAATCAGACCCCCATCCCTGGATGTGTGAGGCTACAGAGCTGCTTACTGGTGTGAGAGAGGGAGCGATAAGCCGCCACTCACACAACATTTCAGCGGCTTGATGGGGTTAAATGGGTGATTCATTTTACCACAAAAAGAGGAGACCAATAGGGGGGATGATCTTCTTGTGACACATTGACACATTATTATATTATATTATATTATATTATATTATATTATATTATGTGCATCTGCTGAAGTCTCCTATGTCCATTGAGCCCATCCTACTTGCTTCCCTGCCAACTTCAAACACTGTTTGCTTTCCTCCAACAATCTCCTCATGGAGTAAGCGCTCCACCCCTGTATGCCACTGCAAAACTCAGTTCACAGTACAACTCTCTAGAAGATATTCAAAGTCAACATAAATAATATCACATGATCCTGTTCAGGATAAGCGGTTGGATGATGGATGGATGATGGATGGATGGGTGCAGGTATAAAAAGTAAATATCAAAGGAGAGAGAAAACAGTTAAAGAAATTTTGGAGTTATTTTCCATATATTCATCTTCCAAAGTGTACAGTGAAAGGAGAATTGATCTGTAATGACACAACTGTAATACAAAGCATCTGATGCCTGCTTTTAAATATGGTGCTTTCTCTTGTACCCCTTGTAACTGTCACTGAACATCCCATTTTTGGGGGAGTTTATCAGTCATGCTGCTGATGGCTCCCAGTGCTGGTGACAAACTGGCGCAGTCTAGCTCCAGAAATTACTGCTTACTCGCTGCTTGTTTTTAACCAGAACAAAAGCCCTGGCACCGTGGCAAATAAATCAGTTTAATCAGGTTAATTAAAGCTTACTGCACACCAAAAGGAAATCCTGACCCAGCAGATTAAATGTTCTCTGGAAATGTGTTACTTCAGTCTTAGTAACTCTTTACACCACTGCCTATGAATGGAAGACACTCCTTGCGTGTATATAGGCCTACAATCTACTAATTTTCATTCTTCCAATATCTGGAGATCTTAATGTCCATCTTTAGCTGCTATCATTGACGTTATTATGGGGTTATTATTTGTTTATCTATTTTCTGCTCTCTGGTCAGTGTCCTGCCTCAGGTAGCTATATTGGTGCATGATTTGTAATATGTTTGAGTTATATATAGGCCTATGTAGCAATACCTTGAAAATTCTGTTGTACTTACAGATCATGTTTGCATGTTTATTATACTTAATATGTTCGTCAACCATCTTATTTATTCATTTTTTTTACCAAAAAGTTCTAGGTGCAGCGTTTGTTTTCTTACCTTTTCCGTAGTTTAGATGGACTTTGATAGCTTTGCCTTGGTTGATGTGTAGGTACGTAAACCATACTGCAAAGGTGAGCAGGACTAACAAGAGAAGGAGTCTGAACTGCTTCCGGATTTTCTTTACAGGGAAGCGCAGCATCTTCGCAGAACCATAACCCGCTTAGCCGGTTCAAAACATATGCAGGTGGGTGTCAGACGGATAACAGGGGTGGAAACTGCACTGAAAAACGGACGGCCGCCAAAAAACACAACGCCTTCACGAACCAAGCTACAGTTCACCTTGAACGACCGGTGCATATGCGAAGAGTCAGGCTTGTGTATTTCATTCAGAAAAATATCGCATTTAAACTAAATGCGCAAAGCATCTCCATTTAAAGTAATAGTTTATCTTCCTGTAAGACAACTACTGTAAATAGAAAATATATGGGTAACTCCTCACTGATTCCTTGCTCCACTGCTATCTACTTTAATTTTATTTTGATAGCATCATCAGATAAAAGCACATGATCCGTAAAATTTTACGCTTCCGATATTAACAGATCTTGGCCTAAAATAGTTTTCGTATTTTTCCTGTTGATGACGTTACAGAAAAAAGTGAAAACATTACACAGAAAGAGGAGCTGTTTTTTTCACAAAGGAAAAATAAGCTGTCAGCTATTGATCTTATTGTAGCCCTGTTGCACGTGTCCTTTTTGATACTTTTTATGGTCAAGTTAACTTTTTCCATCAGATTTTATTCTGCGTGCTTCTTTTTAAATAATTAATGTCCGACATTTTGCTTATTATTCCCAACGGATCAGTCATCGATTCTCACGGCAGCCTCAACGTTAGGGCTGATACAAAACTTTCATTTTTTACTAGCCTGACTTGATTAAACATACTCTTAACGTGTGATCCATAGATCACCTTAAGTACATTTCCACTCCAATAACTAATTAACGAATAAATAACCGATTCGGTAAAATTACATACACGCGACGAGTTGGGTTTTTATTTATTTTGATTACTCGGTAAATTTAGAACAAAAAAATCGGCCGAAACAAAACCATTTTGTCACTTTTATGCAGCCTTCTTAATATAACTCGAGAGAAAAGTAACACCTAAAAGTGCAAACAGGATAGAAATCTCCGTCGAACTCCCAGGTGGAGTGCGCTTTGGAGGTGCATCAGTGCCGTGATTTCGCTGGCGAAATTCAGTTAATTCCAGTGATTTTGCATTTAAATTTCCATTTAAGAAACCGTGCGTGCCGTGCTTTTCCCAGCATATATAAAGCACAACCCTTGATTTACTCACAACAGCAAAAACAAAAAAAACTGGTGCAGAACGTTATGTGGCGACAATGTGCTGGATATTTCACAAATCCACCGAAATGTCATTGATTGCACTAACGTCCGTCCATATCCTCGTTTTGTTCCTTATGGTTTTTTATGTAAAAGTATCCTTTATAAAGGATGTCTTCAGTGGGAAAAAAAATCGAATAATGTGCCACCATCGGTAGCCTCGATCCGATCGTAGCATCTATCTTTCCCTGGCTTCCACCTTCTCTCCCATCAGCAGCATCATCACGCTGACGGGCAACCGAACTAGGAGAAGCTTTAACGGGCAGGCTAAGCATCCAACCGTCAGCGGAGCCTCCGACCAGACGCCGCGATCATCTATTGGGAGAGGCATGGTGACGATAGGCGTGGATGTCAGGTCAAACCTGTGCTTGCAAGCGGTGAATATCTCATTCCTCATTCGATCTGTAGCAAAGGAAATGAGCACACGCCGACGCGATCAACATATATTAGGCATGCTTTGCATTTCGATAATATGAGTGTAGTATTTTTGTATGCCGAGTCTCTTACTGGCAAACGACATTATTTGTAATTCAATATTTTTTTCTATTTTGGATTCGGCGTATTGATATGAAAAGAGGATCGTGCACCCGGACGTAATGAATAGCCTACTAAAGAGCCGAGTATCTAAAACAGGCCGATGCTTGGAGCATTACGTTTCTTATCGATTCATTTTAAAGCACACTAATTGTGTACAGTTTATCGTTAGCGTGGATATCAGGCTTTTAATAGCCCTCATCAGGAGTGTCAAACTCCAGTCCTGGAGGGCCGCTTAGGGGGCTGGAGCCTATTTCAGGCAGCATAGGATAAAAGTACTCCCTAGATGGGATTTCTGCTCATGGCAGGGCACACACTGGCATAGTCATATTCTATGGGTAATTTAGATGCCCAACCTCATTTCTTGGATCTGCGGGAGGAAATGCATGCGATAAGGGACAGATTGCAAACTGCACACACACATCGTGAAGGTGGTATTCTTGCTGGAAACAAATGTCCTCAGTAGTGTTTTACAAAGAAGGCTGCTGTAAGACAAGCTATATGGAATTCTGTTAAATGAGCAAGGCAAGAAATAAATAAGAGGAATGACTGGCTTTGACAGTCTGTCACAGGGCAGCAGCACAGTAATGCGTAGAAAAAGAAAGAAATGAATCACCTGCTATGACCGGCTGGCATCGTATCTCACTGCTGAAATGCTCAGAAAAATGTTACAGGTGCGACTGTGTTGACAGCGATCATAGCTTCAGGAAACTACAATCTTTTCAGGACACAGGAATCGGTTTGTCTGTGTAATGACCCAAAGGACTGGGGATCTACATTATACAGCTATATGATAAATCATATTATAACACTCACTGTCGGAAAGTCGTTGCCAAAATGTGCCTTGAGAAGTTTTTTATTAATTAATTTCAAAAGGACAATAACTCGAGCAGACAAAAGAAGTTGTAGCATTAAAGAGTTCAATGATTTTTAAGTCACATCAGTATTAAAAAATTAACTGTACTTCCACACAGACAACACGCCTACACTCAGGAAAACAAATGTGTACTTTTGCTTGTCACTGAGGAGATACCCTCAAGGGTCTGACAATTGTACCCTTAGCTGTAGGTAATTGTACCTTTTAAGGTACAGGAATGGACTTACATTAATGCTGTTTGTACCTTTGGGATGTTCGTCAGAGTCCATTTCTGTACCTTAAAAGGTACAATTACAAGGGTACAGTCCCAGTGACAAGCAAAGGTACAATTTTTTGACCCTTTTTTCTGACTGTATGATTGGCATTTAGGCCACCCTGCTATGGAAATCCAAAACAGCAAAGGTCTTTGCAAATTTTATATAAATGAGACACATGCAAACAGATATTAAAAAGGTAAGAAGCACAGGCCTATCAGAAGGAGAGTTTCAAAATGCAACCAAATAACATTCCTGGGACCTTTCGGTACCCAACCCCCAGACAACAAGCTAAAGAATATATTTAGGCCTATATACGTTATGTTAACTAGGTGTCAACTGTCGCATTTGTCAAATGCAACTTATGAGTCTCCATGAAAATACTTTTTTCCAGTGGCAAAATTGATAGGCTGCCCTTCCAGCCTTCTAAGGACAAGTTATAGGCCTATAGTAGCAACGTAAGAGCTGGACTGAGATTATAATTCGGTGGGAGGGGGTGGAGGTATTAACTTTTGGAGAGCAATAAATTTTGCCTATGGGGGGGAGTGGTTCCCACAATAAATTTTGCAGGCCCACTTACTTATTTTACCTCTTTTTACTAGTTCAGGGGGGCACCTCTGCCGGTGCCCCCCTTGCCTGTGTATGCGATTAATCACAATTTTAAAAAATCGTTTAACAGCACTTTTAAAATCTCATTTTGAAACAAGTCATCTCTTCCATGGACAGCAGAATCCAGGCAACTTTTGGGGCATTTTTAAGAATATAGTGACGAACGATCATAAAACTTCCTACACATAATTTAATGCAAACCGATAAAACTTTATTCCTAAAAGCAAAAAGTATACCTTGATTAAATAAAATTATATATAGGTCTGTGAGTTTTTTCAAAAGCAAACAGATAAGTGGACATAACTTTATTCGCCCTTGTTCAGACGTGTTCCACGGTTTGCGTTTTTGTTGCCACTGCACTTGCCACTGGATTTAGGGATGGGCAATATGGCCAGCTGTCCAGGACAGCATCTTTCTGGGGGCGGCACAGAGTACCCCGAACACAACCAATCAGAATGGTGACATTTGCACAATCGGTTTTCTATCACTCACTTGCATGCCACTTCAATGATGTCATGTTACTGTGTGGGTTTATTAACCGTGTTGGAATGGGTACCGCAATTCTAGTGTGTGAACTCAGCAGGTTACCGCTGAGAGGTACGAGATGGGGAGGGAGTGGGGGTGGGTTGACCTTAGGTGACCCCACTGGAAGCCCGGGGTAGGTGGAATGGGGGAATCTAGCAAATAGCGCACCTCCAACTTTGTACAGTACTATAAAATTAGTAAAAATCAGTCACACTATGATATCCATCCATCCATCCATCCATTAGCTTCCGCTTGTCCAGGGTTCGGGTCGCGGGGTTAGCAGCTTCTGGAGAGATACCCAGACCTCCATCTCCCCAGCTACTCTTCTACCAGGTCTTTGGGGGGGGGGGGGATGCCGAGGCGTTCCCAGGCCAACTGAGAGATATAATCCCTCCAGCGAGCTTAGGGAGAGCCCAGACACCTTGCGGAGAAACCTCATTTCGGCCGCCTGTATTCGCGATCTCATTCTTTCAGTCATTACCCATAGCTCATGACCATAGGTGAGGGTAGGGACGAAGATGGACCAATAGATTGAGAGCTTTGCGGCTCAGTTCTTTCTTAGCCACGACAAACCGGTTAAGCAACTGCAAAACTGCAGACGCCACTCCGATTCGTCTGTCCAGTTCTCGATCTCGCATACCCTCACTGGTGAACGAGACCCTGAGATACTTGAACACTTGACGCAGTACCTCCTCCCTGACCTGAAGAGGGCAATCCACCTGTTTCCAGCCAAGAACCTGGTCCAGATCTGGGAGGAGATCCCGCAGGACATGATCCATCGTCTCATTAGGAGGATGCCCTGATGTTGTCAGGCATGCATACAAGCACGTGAGGGCCATACAAACTAGTGAGTACAATTTTGAGTTGCTGCCATGAAATTTTGGCAAAATGGAGTAGCCTGCAACATCATTTTTTCACTTAGATTTTCGGGGTGTCTTTGAATTCAGCCCTCTCTAGTTTGATAATTTTCATTTCCATCAAACGATGTGGCATCCTTTCATTCCTCACACATTACACAGTCCATAGCTGTATAGATATCCAGCATGTTTTTTCCCCATTGAGATCTGATGTGTTTTCAAAGTGTTCCTTTAATTTTTTGAGAAGTTTATAAAGTCAGTCTGCATGCCACCAACTTGAATTAGTTCAGTTTCGACTCCTGGTTGGCAGTGTTGCATGATGGGTAATATGGGTAAACTGATGCCAAAATAGCACAAATGGATAAGAAAAGTCAAATCCGTCAGGTACCGAGTTTAGAAACAAAGGAACGAAGAGGAGAAATGCACAAAAGATAAAGGTAGGCCAGCTATTTCACCTCTTTATGAACATTTTATGATGCATGTAATGAAATAGACTAGTATAACACTAGCATGTTTGTTAGTCAATCAGGTAGTGGTGTAATAATTACTTTTATTTTTTTTTTGCATTTACTACAATTTGTTTCTGTTTCTCTTTGTTATTTCTATTGATATTTATGAATCTTATTTTGTATACTGTTTTATATTTATACAGTTTCAAATTGTCCACAGGTGTGCATGTGTGAGTGAATGGAGCGTCAGTGAATATCGTTTTTTTTCCTTTCATGATAATCTAAAAATCAATTTTAATTGGCTACAGATTTTTGTATAGTAATAGGGATGATGACACAGCACTAAATGGCATTAAGGATCCATTGAATATAAGATTAATTCTTTGACAAGACAATCTAAACCTTTCAGGGGTGGAATGAGAAAGGACAAGATAGGGCAAACTGCTTATATCCCACTAACCAAGGCAGACCTATAAAACAGCTCTGCTTCTACTTAATGAAAGTAGACAGTGAACAATCTCATGTACCAAAAAGTCACTCTTAAATCCATTAAATGCATGTTTAGATAAAAATGTCCATGATTTAAACATTATTAATGGAAGCAATTTTGGATTAGTACATGGATTAAAGAATTCAAGTCTGTAATTGCACAGACAGTAATGGATCTTTATTCTTCTGTGATTGAGGAAACCTGTCTATACACCTGGTCTGCCCTACATTCAAAAGTAGGTACTCTGTTATATTTACTAATAATTACAGAAATACCCCTTCCTTGTGGGGATGAAGGGTCTTTGTGGAATCCATCTAGACTGTAGTTAATAGGTCATTTAAAGCATCTTCATCCAAGAAACATGAGTACAACAGAAAAACTTTAAAATCATATGAATGTCTCGGTTTTAAATATGTTCAATTTCTCTCAAGATTCAATTAACATAAAAAAACAGAACAATACAAAAAAATCTTACCTGTGTCTCTCTGGCAGACCATAATGTTATGCTGGTGGGGGGACTACAGAAATCAACTGGTTTCATGATTCATGGTAAGGCTTTTAGAAAGAAACAAATAAACATCACACTGCACATTAACATTATATTATTTTCTCTGTTACACAATAAGTACCCTCTATGGTGCAGGTTATACTCATTGTGCAATTATGCATGCTTGATGCAATTGTCAGAAGTGGCATGCAAAACCTGATGCTTTCTCTGTTCATAAAATGTGTGTGTGATGTGGACAGGGGTGAAACAGATAATACTCTGTTTAAGCAGCGTGCTGAAGTGTGAGCCTAGCTTTTGGTTGTACCTGTTAAGCACTAGACCATGCACTTGTATTAATAGTGTAACTATTCTCATGAAAAGCTGTTAATCAGCCTTTGTGGTCACATACAGAGGCCTTGTGAAAGTGCAAAAGATTTTCAATTAACTGTGTAGTGCAATGGTTCAGCAGTGCAGTATACCCTGTAATAATGTTACTTATGAAATTAGTAGCAATGAAAAAAAAAGCTCACACATTTGATTCTGGAACATTTACTTGAATCTGCAGTGGGATTTCCCACTATTTAAGAAGGTACAGTGCATCAGAGTAAAATACAAACCATGCAAGACTAAACCTTTGCGAATACTGAGAATATTACAAAAGTACAGAATAGTGCAAACACTGTAAGGCTTTAATGTATCTGATCTCCTTGTAGCACCTTAAAGCTCCACACTATATAGCTAACTAACCCAGAGTTTGTTTTCCTGAGCCTTTATGTATCATCATTGCCTGTTACACCCACCACTCCTCACTACATGCGCTCTTACATGCAAAACAATTATAATATTGCAGATGGGTGACGTCAATACACTTATACGTTCCAGCTTATAATAGCTAATAATTTAAGGCACATTTGAGAAAGAAAAAAAATTACAAAAGCATGGAAATCATACAAAAGGGAGAATATTAACAGCCACACAAAATCCATACTGAGATGGTAGACAGGTAAATATATTAAATTATGTGCTATTAGCTAACTGTACACTAGGGGGAGATAACGAACCAGAAACCATGTAAAGAAATGCAACGTCTTACTACCGTTAAGTATGCCAGAAGGAATTGTTAAAGGATGCAAGAACGCATAATTAGTGGTATGCCCAGGAGTTCGTAATTCATACATTTTGACTGGCTGATTATTACTGTTCAATGTTTTCATTTACATACTGCATTTTTTACATTTCTAACAAATGTACAATACTACTTGCAAAGATTTTTGTACAAATATTAAAAAGCACAATACAATACATAATAAAGTATACAAATCATGATAAATTCTATGAAATACCAAACATCACATGAAGATTGAAAAATAAATAAATAAAATGCAACTGAATCCTATTTTAAGACCATCATGAATCATGTAGGTAGAAGCCAGTAACTGATAAATAGAACCAAATTGACAGGCTTGAATGTCAGAAAATGGGGTCCAGGCAAAGGAAAAACCCAGGAATGATTCAGAACTGCTTGGCAAAATCAAACAAAGCTTCAGATTGATTGTTAAATCCTTCTTTACATATTACAGCTCAGCCATCCTTGTATTACTGATGGCACTGAAATCAGCTCTGCGGTGTTTCTGCCCTACAGATTGCATAAGCAATAAAAGTATTATTTAATCAAAGGCATGGCTATAGAAAAAAAACAAGGTTATTTCATATGGATGAAATGAAAAAGTGGTGCGTTTATCAAAATGCTACGTTGTGATATTACTGCTTGGGATAGAGCCACTTCTGCTTCATGGAAGGGCAATCTTGCCAGCACCAGCTGTGCTATATCACCAGTCTGGAATCACCAGTTGGGTGAGTCGGGGTAGATTCCTGGCTTGGAGGAACAGAAGCGCTTAGCATTTGTCCTGAGGTCACAGCTGAACAGGTCAATGGATGCAGCAACTGGCCCGAAAATGCCAAGCAACTACACTGCCTGTCTGCTTGGAAGAGTGGAGGGAGCTCATTTCCTTTTGGTATTCCAAGAACTCTTCATTGGTACCAACTACATCCCAAAGGCTCTACTTTCAGTCCAAAAGCTTGAGGACTGGCAGAGCATACAGGGTTCAGCCAGGCGGGGTCACTTGCATACACCATCATACTGCATTACATGGAACATGGTGACAGGAAGGGACAGATGGAGGAATGGGTAAGGCCGCTGGATTTATGGTCACGGGTGGGGGAGGATGAGGGAAAAATTAAGGTGACTCTGCTGTGGAAGGTCCTGACATCTCCTTAGGTTGGAGGTCCGCAGACAGACTTTGGAGTAGCAAAGCAGTCTCCTCCAGCAGCTGATCAGGAGAGTGGTCCACCTCCCGCTCTCCTTCAGAGAGATTGTCGTACTGCGAGATGTTGGAGGGCCGTCTGTGGCTGGGCGGCTGGGGCACCGATAGAGTCACTGGGAACCTGACAGGCAGGTGACTGGACCTGGAAGAAAAGCTCACCTCCTGCAGGTGGAGGTCCAAAGGCTTGGCTGGGCACAGGGACATAGGTTGGGGGGAGGATGGTAGGGGCTTTGATTCCGGCTCTCTGCAAACAGACTCCTGCATGTACAGAGGTGGGGGTGGTGGCAGATTAGGAAGGTCTACTGGCTCCTCCTGAGACTGCATAGCCATGATGTCATTCTCAGGGGGCTCATAAGGGGGGGGCCAATCCCCACTTGCACGCTCAACTGCTTCTTGAACTTCCAACCCATGCTGCGGCTTTTTGGGGGTCCGTGAATGTATGGAGAATGTTGACAGTGGACCCTGCCCATTGGCATTCCTGAAGTCCAAAATGTCACTCGGAGGTTGACGGGTCCTCTCCTGCCATTGTGTCAGGACTGGCCCTCCCATTGGCTGCTGTAGCACTGGGGGCAGGCATTTGCTGTTGGGTACCTGGGGCAGCTTGACTGGCATAAGCACTATGGGTAACTCGAGGCCAAGGGCATTCTTCGGAAACTCATCGTGTCTCGCTGGAAAGAAAAAAAATAGTTATATATCCAAGTTTCATTTCAAACAGCTAGTACTTTCTTTAGGACTGATGTGACAGAAATATCCAAACGTAGCAATAATATTAATAAGAGCACGTGGTACCTGAGTCCCGGAAGAAGACCTGTAGTACTAGTAAAGCCACATGCTCAACCTTATTAAATAAAAACATCTAGCTATAGCTATATAACATTTAGCTACATTTATGTACAAATTACTCTGGAAAAACATCAACTGGCTTCTTTTCCTGGCAGCACCTGGAGGAGGAAGGTCCAGCTTCATTTTGCGTAGTTCGGCCATTGAGGCTTGAAGATGCTCAATGACCACATCGTCCCCCAGGCTGAAGGACTCCACAATCTCCTCCTGCAGAAACTCCCGTAGCTCCTCCAGAGACATCTTTAGCAAAACCTCTATAGGGGAAGGAGCAGTGAGACGGAATCGTCAGACACCCTGTGCACGTGACCTATTCCATTTAGCAGATTCAAAGGATGAAGCAGATTCAGTGACCAAAGATAAGCTAGGCCCTTACTTTTGTATAGTTTCAAGATGGTGTAAGCCATGGCAGTTAAAACCTTCTCCCCTTCGAGAATATAGATGTCCCACAAACGCAGGGTCAGAGTGAATGGAGTCTATATAACAACAAAACAAAAATATTAATATTAAACAAAATCACACAATTATCTCTACAGGAAAAAGGTAAATAGTTCAGTAATGCTGTGGGGAAAAGCTTCTTTTAAGTGCTAGGACTGGAAGCCTTGACAAGCTCCGAGTCCTGGCTTTGCATGGACTGAATGTGCTGACAGCAGCTCGCTTCTCCACACCACAAAAGCCACTAAATTGTGTGTATGAATGACAAACACGGGATAAATCACAGCCGCCCAAAATCACACACAAACTCGGGCCCAGACTCCAACTCGGGCGCCTCTCTGTACGATTAAAGGATTCACATTCTCTACATGCAGCAGGGGGAACACTTCATCAAGGTTCCAAGCCAAACCACACGACTACGGGATAATTCCATGCTGCTGATTATACATGTGCAGTATATACTTTTTTTTTGCTATTACTGTAAATAAGACATTTGCAGTCAGTGAATTACGTGACTCATGAACATATAAAGATTCTACTGCAGCTTTTACCAGTATACATAATATTGCTGATAAGTGAAAGAGACTCACCCTATCAATGAAACACTGTAGAAACCATTTGGTGGTGTATATCCCGGAGGACATCTGCTCCTTGTCCTGGAATGGAGAAAGTGATTTAAGCAATCCCAGCTGCATTCACAGGCTGGGGGATGCAACTGGTGGTCCTACTGAATTCATTCCGGCTCACCATTTCAGCCCGAACGGAGATTACGAAGAAGAAAACAAATGAAGATCTTACCAAATGTTTCTTTAGCTTTGGGATCAGTTTGGAAAATATCTGGTCGTGATGTGCCTGAAAACGATGAAGTTTAGGAAATCCAGGAATGAAGAATCCTAAAAATCAAAGGAGATAGCATGTGAAGGCCTACAGCAGCATCAGTGACGTCCTTAGTTATGGTTAACGTGCAGAGGCTCCTGGCCACAGCTGGTCTGTAACCCTGGGGTTCACAAGGGGAGTCCTTGGAGACCTCCGCTTCCTATTTCGTTGTCTCTAAGCTTTGAAGCCTGACTCACCGTGCATGGCATGCTTCTGGTTGTTCAGCAGCTGCGCGAGCGCCCAAAAAGCGTCCTCCTCATTCATGTACATCAGCAAGATGGCGGCGATCTGGCTCATCCCTTGGCAGTAGGTCACCTCCTGGTAATGCACCATTGCGCACACAGTCAGCAGGAATGAATCTAGTACTACTGCAATTCTAGGAAACCTAGATTCATGCATGATTAGGCCACCCTGAAGAACAGGAAAAGGTACTCGTGCAGAGCTATTGCACTATTACACTATTGCACTGCTCTGTGAAACCCTGAAACACATTACATGCATCAGCTACCTGCCAAGAGGGACCTTCTCCTTTGGAAGAACAGAGTGGCTGACTTTTTCCACAACACTGAACTGAGCATCTGTCCTATATGCTCTGACAATAACGCAGATAACCAGTGATACATTTCACAAGTCACAACTGCTGGAATCTGGCTTTCTGAACCCACGAAAACCCATATGAGATCTCTATAAACTGCAGGCCTATGCCACCAAATTAAAACAAAAACCATCGTGCCTATTGCAACAAGGTACATAAAGTGCAGACCATTGTCATTGCACATTGTCTTGTTTTGCACTATATGTTTGTTATCTGCACTTTACCTACCTTGCTGCTGTATGCAGAATTTCCCTCTGGGATCAATAAAGTTCATTTTATGTTATAGTGAACCTGACATAAACGTGCCAAAAGAGCAGCGCTGATAAACCACCTCGATAAACCGGCTTCTTGGGTGCAGAAGCAATGTAACTATGCTTTGCCATTTCATCGGCACTGCTGAAACGCAGTCAGTGTGCCAAGTGGCAGATCTGTCTCCCTTCTGGAACATTCCGCTCGCTGCTCTCTTTCTGAAGACTCCCCTCCAGTCACAGAAATGCAAAAAAGTAGCACGCACGTTAGATCTCAGAAACAGCTGCCATTCTGACCAAATTTCCAGGCTGGCCCTGAAGAAACGCAACACTTTCAATCTTCTGATATGAAGGCGAAACAAAGGTCCAATGAAAGAGCAGCAAGCAGAGTGAGCATGGGCCTTGTGAAGGAGCGTCTGCATGGCAGGCTGCATACTCACCGGGTTGTACACAGAGTAGGCCGCCAGCACCCAGAACAGAGCCTGCTGCCTGCAACAAGAGACAGAAGCATTATCATCTGTGCCCACCTCACAGGTAACACTTTACTCATCGTCACCCTTGCTTTCACAATATCTCCTACACAACTACCATGCTACTCAGTGTCAAAATGAAATCAATATAGACAACCACTGACAAAAATCAATGACCACAGGCCACAGAACACTCATCCGTCCATTTTCCACCGTCTAACAGCTTGTTGGAAGAGAACTGTGGTGAAGTTAGAGTCTGAAGCACAGAGTATGAGGCAGGGGACACCCTGGCCAGAATGCCAGTCAATGTCACACACACACAGTGACACTACAGATGCCTTGGCATCTGTATCTTTGTGGGGACTCTCCATTTGTTTCTATGGGGAAAAACCCTAATCCCAACAATAATAGCTTTAACCCCTACCCAGCCCTAACCTTAACAATAAGTAACCTAACAAAAGACTTTAAGCTATTTTAGTTTTTTGATTGCATTTACAGATTTTTATTAAATTCAGGTTTCTATCGTGGGGACCTGAAAAATGTCCCCACAAGCTACAAAATAAAAGGTTTTACCAGATTGTGGGGACATTTGGTCCCCACACTATGGTTAGTACACATCCACACACGCACACTATCACTAAAGATGCAAATTCATCTAAACCTCATGTTTTTGGACTGTGGGAGAAACTCAAGGAGAATATGACAACTTCACACATAGAGGCTGGGGTGGAACTCTGACCTTCCCCCTGAAGCTCTCAGGCTACAGTGCTAATCACTGAGTCACTATGACACTCTGCCTTCATCCATCCATCCATCCATCCTTGGACCGCATCTCTTTAGACCGCAGGAGGAAAACCACATAACACAGGAAGAACAGGAGACCTGCACACGCACAGAGATGGTAGCATAGGCACCTTCCCACTCGGATACGGTAAAGATCATGACCACTGCAAAGGCCACTTCTTTTGTTTCTGTTTTATATAAGATTTACAATTTTCTTGCAATATAAACAGGATGTAACCCCATTTTAACCAAAGCTGAGATTTACACACAAATGTCATTCATGTTTATTTAGAAGAAAACCTATGAATCATTAACATTAAAGATTTTAAGCAATGCAGTTTCAATACTTTTTGAGAGAAAGATTAAATGCACAAGCAAAACCCCAGCATGTTCTCAGTGGGAATTTCTCAAACATCCAAAGTAAATTTCTTGCTACACAATGAAGTGAAGTATTTGAGCCTGAACACACACAATACAGGACTAAGACGGCTATTAGGAACGGCAAAATAATTTCCTAAGCTTCAAAGTGTACGGAGCTATTGTACTGTACAGAGCCATCGCACTGTACTGAGCCATTGTGAGTGACGCGCAGCCTCGCAAAGCAGCAGTGCTGTTTCCTGTCAGCTCGGGCACTAACAGGAAGAGCAGCATGACATGCAGGGAGGAAGTGACTCCAGTCGGTGGCTTACAGAGCTAGAGGGTGTCGACACACACAAAAGCAGGCAGGCGATAAGCCTCTTGTGCGGGGGGGGGGGACAGTAAAAGACAGCAGTGTGTGTAAGTTGCCTCAAACAAGCCCTGATCTTCAGAGGATGTGATGAGTGAAAGGGACACGGTATTAACACAGCTGTTTATGCTTCATTAGGGCAATTCCCCTCGTGCTGCCAGGTGGCGCCTGTTTCCTCCATATAGCAGAGCCAGACAATAACATTTAGAGTGTGGAGAAGCTGCAGAGCATACAGAGCATACTCACAAGGCAAGGCTGCTGCTGCTGCCCTAAGAAGCTTTTCACTGCTATAAAAGGGACTTTCAAATCAACAATCATGCTGTCTGAATTGTTACCCCTTTGCTAATTCTGTCACCCTTTGCAAATTCATGTTGCCCCCGCTATGCCAGCATCCGCATATAAACACGACTCACATCACTCCGAAGCGGTCCTTGAACATGATGTGGTTTCGGAATGTCCTGTTGATGTCCAGATCGATCTGTTTGATCTCTGTCGAGTAATGCCTGGCCTGTTCCTTCATGTGCTGCAAACGGCAAAATTGCGAGTTTAAAGAAAAACCCAAAACACACATTCACGATCATAACCAGCATTAGCATTCTGGCCAGCATTAGCTCTGTGCTATACACAGTGTCTATGACGACCACCAGCCACCATTACAGGAAACTTGTAAAATTCTCATCTGTGGCCCAAACAGCTTACCAGGAAAAGCCAAGTTACAGGTTTCTACCCACCTTGTACTTTCCTGCATGGGCATTCTTGACCTTTTCGACTTCCAAGAGGAGGCACCACACCTTGCCCCGACATTTCAGGGGAATCCCCTTATATACCCGCCGTGACATCTGGGGGGAGGGGGGGGAGGGGGGGCATGGGGGGCAGGCCGACAAGGAACAGTGAACAAACTAAAACAAGGCCTAGCGAGGTCTGGTCAAAGTCTTCTTGTGCAGCTGCAAAACGTGAAATGGCAGATGCCACTTGCCTTGTCACTGTTTTGGTACTTATTCCAGCTGGCCACCATTTTCAGCCATTTATCCACCCTTTCAATCTCCTGATGTATTTGCTGCAGAAGAGGGAAGAAAAGGTTGAATTTTGTGGCAAAAGCTAAAACAAAAATAGCTGAGGGAGAAATATGAATATTTCCATTTAAAAAGAGGGGAAAAGCTAAACAGTAAAACAAAGCCTCATTTAATGAAAACAGACAGAGCACACGAGTATAACAGATGCTAATAAGCGTAACGGAGAACAGGAGGAGGCAGATTCTCATTTCCTGCAACAATCGGAGGTCCTGACTTTGTAATGAGGGAGATTATAAAGTTCCTGATCCACATCTAGCATGGATGACAGCGGAGCCCAGGCCAACCTATCAGGGGAATCAGCTGGGAAGCCCGAGGTTAGAGGATGGATGCAGAGTCCACTGGCTCCTTGCTGTTCTGTATCCTAAGCTTGTCAATAAATTATCTACTCCGATTATCTCACAAGTTGTTATTTGACATGTTGTTTTTCAGTAGCGTGTGTCGAGAAGCTAAATGCAGAACATAAAGCACTACATATATCGCTCCTTACCTTCTCCTCAAGTGCACTGGGTCTGGGAAGCTCTTCCTTGCTGCGAGAGATATTCAAACACAACCGTTATTACCGACTGGCATCCCAATACCATTTTAACCGATCACATGACTCTCCTCACTGCTAAAGAAATGTCTGGGAATTCGCTTTCCCCTCCAACATCTTCCTAACATCTGGTACAATAACATTCCTCCAGAGCAAGTGAGACAGTGTCTCCAGCAGATATGGAAGCGTGGGACCCGAGTGACTCACTGCAAGAAGCCGAAGCGATCCATGATCTTGTATATGTCGCTGTCCGCATCTTCCCACACGTTAATCTGCACACCCTGCTGTCTGCCCTGAAACCAAACAGCCACGGAGTTGATCAGAAGTTTGCATTTTACACACATACACACACACACACACACACACCTATATATACTGTACACATATGTAACAGTAACAGAATGACTCTGTCCCCACTGTGTAGAGGTAGAGGTTTGCATCCTCTCCCCATGCTGCCCATAGACAAAAGACATGCAGGTATGGGAACTGGCATCTTCTTAGAATCTGAGTGTGAAGGTATGTATGCCCTGTGCTGGGCTGGCCTGCCTTGTGTCCTAAGCTGATTGGGACAGGCCCCAGGCTCCTTGGCAGACTGGATGGGCAGTTGAATGATGGATGAACATACAGCTTTGGTAAATATTAAGAGACCACAGTTTTCAGTTTCACTCATTTCTCAATTTATAGGTGTGACTCTGTAAAATAAATATTTTTTTCAAACTCCTGCCTGGATCTCCCCTGTTTCTCATTAATGAAGGGCTTCTTCCTTGCTTTATGGGTCTTCAGTCCTGCTTCTAGGAGCCTGATATGAGCTGTCCTAGCAGAGCACTTCATTCCTGCACTTAATGCTTACCATTCCTTTTGAAGGTCACTTGAGGTCATCCTTCAATCTTTGAGGCACTGCTAAGGAAGTCGACAGTCATCTCTGGCATTAGAAAGTTGCTTCTGGCCTCTTCCTAGCTCGTTTTTGGTCATTGCCAGTGTCTCCTGCTTCACCTTTTACTTGTGTACTGCTGTCTTAGAAACTTTGAGCCTGAAAGCAGCCTGCTGCTCAGTGTAGTCTTTTGCCAGCAGAACCAGGATTTTAAATTGCAGATTAAATATATATATATATAAAGTAGTCTCAATTTTTTCCAGAACTGTACACATATTCCACAACAAACTTTTAAAACAATGAGAAAGCCATACCTAACAGAAGTTTTCTTGACTATCTTCTGAATTTATCCTTGAAGATGCGGAAGTCAAAGTTTTCTTAAATCACCATGTGACATGTCTGTTTCCTCATACACTACAGCAATAGACTTGCTGTAATACTGGGGTTCACTACACAGAAACTGTAGCTTCAGTTACATGCCAATACAGGAACAGTGCGTGAGACACTAAAGCAGCATTTTAATTGTAAGAATAGCTGAACAACACAACCACTTATCATGAAGAAATGCCACAATCTGCATATTCACCACCACAGCCTCTAACGACACTTCACTACAGCTAGCATTTATCTCATCTGATCAGGTAGCAGATAAAAAAGGCAAATTAAGAGCACAATGAGGCCGCCGTTGGATTGTCCCACGCAGCTACACATGTCAGGATGACATACGGAGTTTAGTGTGACAGGGACAGGTGTCAAATAGAGGTGCAACAGATTACAAAACATATCACAGTTTTTGAATCACGAATCGTCTTGTTTTTTGGATCAGCAAAAATAAAGGGGGGGGGGGGCTAAAAGTAATTTTGGTTTCCATTTATTACTTAAAGAACTCTGAACATTCCCTGTACAGATAAACACACAACTACTTTGTCTGTGTATTTTCACTCCAATTCTGCATGATATGGAAGTTTGTAGAGGACATCCCACTGAATTCTTTTCTGTCTTGTTATGTCGAGATCACCACTTATTTTCCTCATGATCTCAACAAAGCTATAGTTTTCCTCTCAAGATCAAGTTATTTTCTGGTATCCCCTACCTTACAAACATTCTCTTAGCCACTTAGTATTTACAAAAGACCTACACTGTGGGATTAATAAAGTCAATCCTATCTTATCTTATCTTATGAAAAAAGGAAAAAAGCTAAAACACCGTTTATTTGGGGTGGGTGATATAGCCTCAAAATTATGTCATATTTCAATTAAATTTGCCATAATGATATTTATGACAATATTGAAAAAAAAAATACTGAGCAACGTTTTATCTATGATTGCAGATTGCAGGGAGCATCATTTATTAGTGCAAACAAAATGAAAGGTATTTTCCATCCTTCTTTTCCAATGAGCTACTATCATTGATGATAGACTACCAAATTCGAAGTGAGAAACTATTGCCACAAGGTGCCAGCAGCAACAGCAATAGTGCAATAGTAGTGACACAGCATTATATATGTCCTACAGTGACACAGCATTATATATGTCCTACAGTGACACAGCATTATATATGTCCTACAGTGACACAGCATTATATATGTCCTACAGTGACACAGCATAAGTCAAATGCAAGCACAAAAGTAGCCTATGTAGTGTTTTCCTGGAAATCTTAAGTAGCATTACTGCTTAACACGTTAGTATAACAATAGTAAAAGTCACATAAACCTTGGAACTCTTCAGCAGCCTGCACAATATTGTCGCCTAATAAAATTGACCTCAAATTTTAAGTACAAATGTGAACAAGCAGCAGCAATCTGAACAAATCTTCAGTCAAAATGTAAACAAATAAAATAAAAATGCCAGCCAGCTAGCAGACACATCACAGTCCAAACTTTAGATTCTTTGACAAGAACACCAGTTTTAATTTGTTATAACAATTTTTTTCCTTCAATATTACTACTTAATTATGTAAGTAATTCAAATTATCACCAAAAAAGGGTAGTTTGCACACTGTGCAAAGTTTGAATGGCATAGCACGGCAGCATTTGTGCTACGCACAAGCACCTGAAGAGGAAAGATACAGGCTAGGGCTGCACCAACTTCAATTTTCTTGCCCGATACTGATTTCCGATTTTTTTACCAAGTGTACCCTGCCGATACTGATTTTGCCAATTCCGATTTTCTTTCTGTAAACTTCACAATTTCCCCCAAACTGCACAGTTACAGGATCTTTTCTCACTTAAACAAGTCTCAAAATAAACTGCTCTGTGACTGGAATTTAATGATTATTTAATGATTTAATGATTATTATATAGTATATGTTTAATAATGAGTTTCAAGTTTACCTCTGGTGATTCACCATGTTTTTGTGGTGGGTCCCCCATGGTTTACTTTGGTTTTACGTGTATTACTAATTGCACTCACAGTGAAGAACTTCCACGCTAATGACATGTTAGCGTGTGGCTGTGAGCGTGCATGTAGATGTGAGGCTTTTGCCTGCGCTGCTGTGTGCATGAGGTGTGGTGCATGCCTAAAACAAACCGGTTCAGGCTGGTCTCCAGTCTGAGTCAAGCATGCTGAAAATCAGCCATTTCCAGTGTTCTGTCGATATATGCTGCCTTGTCGAAAAATGCTACTGTAGTGCTAATCGATAGCCCTAACCCTAACTCTTACCCTAACCCTAACCCTAACCCTAACCCCCCAAAACCCCTAAAACCCTTACCTTAACCCTAACCCTAACCCCTAAAACCTAACCCTAATCCCAAGACGGTGGAACTGCACATGCGCAGAAAGGCTCGATAGCACGTCTTGATAGGTAGTATATTATGACAGAACACTGGTCCCTGACCAGTCAGTGCCCCTCTAGCACAGGCGCTACTCTGGATGATGGACCACCAGAAAAGACAAAACCATCTTAAATGTTGTTTATTTATGTTTATTAAATTACCATTAGTACAGAGAGCTTTTAATATCCTTTGTCCTTATAGCTGCTAGATACACTCATTATTAAAGCCATAGTCATTTGACTGCTACGTTAGAATCTCCACTGAAGTGTTTGAGAAAATGTTTAGGGTAGCTTTTTCTGCGCTGATTAACGGTGCCTGTATGTGTGGTCGTGCATGTTGGGCTTGTTGGGACCAGTGTTATTACCATAAACAAAAAATGAAACAAAAACGGAAACTAATTTTTAAAAAATATCCATTAACTTAAGTAAAAATGGTAACATACACTATGTCATTGTGGGCTTTAGATAATGGACGCTGGATTTTCGGCACTGTATGAACATTTTCTTACACAAACAATTGGATAAGCTTAAAATATTAATCAGAGATAATGTGATGCGTAAAAGTTAGTAATCTATATAAATTCGGTGTAGCGTAGCACGCTATATGCGATTACTTTGGTATATCATGGAAGCAATAACCACTGAAGTGGCAGTGAAGAAAGCACAGCACCCGTAACATCTTTTTAAAGGAGGAGATACTGTGGAAAAACAAGGTGAAACGATGCCGTGGTGTGGCGGGTCCTTCAGTTTAAAGTCCGATGTTTTTTAGGCAAATATAGTTGTTTCCAAAATAAAATTAACTTAAAAGAGACAAAAAATTAAGAAGAAAATTAATCGATTAGATCAATCAAACTATCGGTAAGATAGTTGATAGATTAATCCATAGAAAAATAGTCGCTAGTGGCAGCCCTAAATGGATCCCGTTGTTATATCATTGATATCGTGAGATGACAGTTTTCTATTACGTAAAAATTTATACTGGTGCTACCGTGGATGGGTTGATATGACACAACCCTACCGTTGAGCAATTATTTAACAGTGATGTTTCGGTCAACGATGGATCGCATATACAATGGAAGTCCCATAACATTCACAATATTCTAAAATTCACCCCCCACCTTATGCTAAAAATATAAGGGGGAAATTCTCCCCTGTTATAAGAAATGAATTTTTCATTATTTCTGCACCTATGTTATCTGGAAAAACACAAGACACAACTCTTTTTTTACACACACACACACACACACACACACACAC